ACTCTAGTTTGGCGTTTCGCCTCGCTACATTTGCATTTTTTTGGCATTGTGTCTCTTGGATGTGTTGGACGTGCTGCTTACGGTCTGGCACCTGGTCCCTACCTTTTTATGAAGCACTTACCCAACATGTTCTCATCCAAAGTCATCACATATCACTGCTTTGTCAACTGATTTTCACGTCTACATATTAAGCCCCGTTTCCACCAAACACTTTTGGTATGGTAACTTTGGAACCAATAGTAACCCTTCAGACATGGTACCTAGACCCTAGGTCCATTAAGTGTTTCCACTGCAAACAGTACTCCTAAATGTGGGCGGGGTTGTTGTCACTCATTACCGTCCAGGGAATGAGGCTGCATGCCGACATTTTCAGAACAAAATAGAACAGGCTGCAGTGAGAGTCTCTCTTGATGGGATATTTAAAAAATAGCAGCTTTGTGCATTTAGTCATTCTCAGACAAGCTCAGGGGTTTAGTGTTGCCGAGGCCCACAGGAACGATGCTTTTTTTTTCCTCCATGTGAGGATTAGAATATGTACAGTTCACATAATCAAAAATTAATTCATATTTTATAACACTTAAAGATCCACTCATTACTAAAAGTGTTTGTCATATAAAAACAAAAGTGATGGTCAAAGTTGTCACAGTGAAATGTAAGGTGTGCTGATGGATTCACATCATCAACTCATTCCACCTTAAAAGTTGCTGGCAGTCGGCCCAGTGAATGAAGTTATTTTTACTCAGACTCCAGCTGCTGTGAGAGGCAGCAAAACATCCTTTCATTTTATAGTTACAGTTTACTAATAAAACTCTCCACAGTATGAACAGTGGTTACATGAGCCTCAAAACCAGACACAACTCAGCCCTGAGCAGAGTGACCGTCCTCTACTGACCAATCAGACTGCAGGGTTCACAGCTCCACCAGAAAAAATGCGTACCAAACTGAACCGTACTGCTTGGTAGAAGCGGGGCTTTACACGTTGGGTTTCCTTCTGTGTCTGCTGTTGACATTTTGGGACGCCAAACAAAAGCACATAGTTAGGTTTCCAAAGAAACATGATGGTTTGGCTCTACATTCACATGGGAAGCAAACACCAGGCTCCTGGGTAAGAGTCCAGGGTTTTTTGGACCCATCCACCATAACTGAGAGGGATTACATCCGTACGAGTCCATTCATGTTTTGTTTTTTTTAAGGAAAATCCTGCATAGTATACCTTAAACATGGCAGCTTTCTTGACCTTTAAAATATATCTTTTGATGTATTCATGGGATTTGCTGACAATAAGAAAAATAAAGAAAATATCAGCCTTTTTCATCAGTATTGATTTTAACACTACCACGAGAAAAGATGCTACAAAATGTCTCAACCATAGTCTTTTTAGTTTGAGGTTGTTATACCAAGGTGGAGCAGTTCATCTCACAGTGCTGCATTTGATGTTACATAATTCATCACACAGCACCCGGCTGAATACAGCTGGACAGCGCTGTAAAGTAAAGTAGGCCAGTATGGCCTAAATATTGTGCAACTGTTATGTCCTTTGGGACAAAACAGTACAGGTGCTTTCACTACATTTACTGTGTGTGTCTCCAGGAATAGAACACCTATTCTTGCATGCAGATACTGTATACAACAACTGTGTTTAGCAATGTAAGGCGAGAGGTTCCATCTAACTACTTTTTTATTGACACTTTTCTTGTGAGAGAGTGCACTACAGAGACAGAGTGGTGAGCATGAAAAAACAAAACTAATTGCCAGACTTAAACTTCGTTTGCTTTGTATTTCATAATGTTACTATACTACATCAAAACACACATACAGACCTTTCAGGCACACTCAGGTAGCGGTTTCACAGAGATTTCATGTACTGCTGAATGCAGAAAGGTGATGACGGACTGGTTGTGTTGTGCACAGTGGCCTACTTAAACATTTGTATTTTGGGCGTGACAGGAAGTGATTCAAAATGCAGCACAGACTGACCCATATTGGAGGGTATTACTTCAAAAACAGCCAATAAAGTTTTATTATTATTGTTGTTATTATTCAGCTTTTTTTTTTTTTTTTTGCCAAACACATCATTTCTTTGCAACCCGATAGCAAACTTTCCAAGACCAAGCACCAGTCCATATCCCAGCTGACTTCTGCACAGGGAATACACAGTGCCCAGCTTCCACTTTTTATCAGAATATTAAGCTGTACTATTATTTTTGCAGTATCTAATGCGAGCTGACGCACTAACCAGCGTATGAAGTGTTCCTCCTGAATCCACCAACCTGCTAGAGGCAGAAAGGTAATTATCTTAATACTGTTTGCTGCATTCACAGCAGAAAATTACCCCTCTGAAGTGACTAATCCGTCTACTGCTCACATGATGCATGTTGTCAGAAAAGACCGTTAAGATGGATTTCTCAAAATTATACCATTTTAATGAGCTGATAAGAGCATAACAATAGACTTGGGATGAGATTCTCTCTCCAGTCTGGCGACTGCCAACAGCTGTGACCACTGTAATGGGGAAAATGCACAAGGATGGTATTCATAGCTCATACGTCTTAAGAAGCCTTCTACTATGTTCTATAGCCAAAGCTTAAATCCAGCGTTATCTCCAGTGCTCCTGAAGGACATGAAGAGAAAAACGTGGATACACACCAAAGCATGACAAAAATGCATAACCCCTATGTGAATTTTTTTTTGTGCAGAGACTTCTTTACTCTTATATCATGTTCATCCTGAAAAAAAGTGCCCACTCATTTGCAAAGTGGATTATCACAGCAGTTTGCCAGGGAAGCATAACTGAGCTCAAAACAATCTGATTTTGAGATAGAGGGAGCGACTGAGAGCTTCTGGCTTTCAACACAGCAATAATTAAGCTCATTTCACTGAAATCATTTTCTCTTCCTCAAACTCAATCTCACTTTATTTTCTGTGAATTTCCAATGAGCACTTTTCATACTAATTTCACAAAAATATTCCCTTTTAAATGCTAATGATTAATAGGGAGCTAGGTAGAGGGGCTACATATACTCTCAACAACGCTGGGGAATATCATGCCATGGTACTGCCTGGAAATTGGTTTTATGGCAATCTGCACACTCTGCCCTCTAGCATTTATGATGAAAATGTACAAAATCATTAATGCAATTCCAGCAGTATTTGAGAAGGCTGCCAAAAGTTAAGTGAGATGGTTGAATCCAAACTTTACTGTACAAAGAGGAAAGTCAGGTGGCAGCACAGGATTTAATAAGAAGTTTTGAGTATGTTAAGTGCATCAAGAAGTTTCAGCCGATTGGACGGTCATTTCAAGACTATTCGAGTAATCCATGTCACCGGGCCGATGACTTAATTGCACAGAAATATCCATGTGAATATTGATGGATGTGTTAACTCTGGGATGGATTGGAGATTTTCTGAAAAAACAATTTGCTAGAGGCTTGTCAAATAAGAGCAACTCCTCATGCAGTCTCCATACATACAAATGGTTACGAGGATCTAAAGAGATTGCACTGAATATCCAAAAACAGTAGGCTGGTGAGACCATCCTGATGACGTAAGCTCAACATTATGTTTCACTCTCTGTATGAGTCTGGACTCGGTGCCGCTCAAAACGCTTTCCGGGAATTAAAGTCCAATCAGGGCCAATTTAGGATCCACATAGTTGACAGCATAAGCAGCCAATTAGGGACTGCGTTGTAGCTGACAGATGACAGAAAATGCCAACATGTTTTCATCTTGTCGTCACATATCACTGTTTTGCCAGGGGACTTTCATGTCTACATAGTATGCGTTAGGTAACTTCTGTGTCTGCTGTTGACATCCTGACAGACGCAACCAACAACAGGACATCAACAAAAGCACATGTTTAGGTTTAGGCAACAGAAGCACGTTGGGGGGTTGAGAAAAAACATCATGGTTTGGCTCTACAGTCAGAGTGGAAGCGAACAGTGGGCTACCGGGTGAAAGTCCAGGGTTTGTTGGATCAATCCGTCTCTCCTAGCACCACCCCATAGGGACTTTCTAGCTCCATATAATACATCAATACTGGCAGCGTTTCAAGCTGATGCTGTTCAGAGGTGTATCATACTGTCACGACATATGCCATCCAGGTGTCCAGTTAACTGGTGGCGTATCGTAACACTGAGAAAGGTTCTGTCAGGCCACCTTACAAACTAACGCCACACAGCAGTGTATCATACCTCGACCAAAGGTAGCTTTTGGTAACGGTGTTGGATGCCAAATTCACTGACAAAGCGGCCATATTTGACAACTTTGGAATGAGAACTGGCTGAAAAGGCAGGCCACAGCTTGCAGAACAGTAATGGCTGTTTCCATAGCAACAAGCACTAACTCTAATGCTAGTAAACACAGCAATAAGTGAAGTTATTGCAGAAATAGAGTTTATAACAACAGTCAAACAAGAACAAGAGTACACGTGTGGAGTTTCTTTGAGCAAAAGACGTTTTTGCCATTCCGCCGACTGGATTTGGCAAAAGCTTGATTTATCAGCTGTGTCCATTGGTAAAGAAGAAGATGTTTCCTGGTGTGTTGTTACGCTGATTGTCTGAAGGAGTTTGTCTGTCAAGGTGAGCACTCCTACCCACTGAAAGTGTTTAGGGCGGCAGTGAGTCAAGACTGATACAGAGAGTGAAACACAATACTGAGCCCATGTCATCAGGACGGTCTTACCAGGCTACAAAAATAGTGCAGGTCATGACATCATGGGCAGAAAAAGTTTAGAAATAATAAAGTTCTATGAAACACCAAAATAAGATTTGTAAATTTTTGAATAAATGTCCTACCTAAATATATATTTTCCCAAAACTGCAATACACATCTTTCTCTGTAGAGTGCCTCTATTCCCAAAGGTCTGTTTGACTTTTGTTGTTATTTAATCACGCAGAGTGGTTTTCAATCAGGACACTGATCATCAAAATCCTATGTATGTTTGAATAAGTGTACTTGTTGCATGAGGCATGGCCACCTTTGCTAAAAAGAAAGGGAAGTACCTGCTCTCCTTCGGTCAATACCCTGTTATCGAAACTCCAGGAGATGGTGGGTGTGGGGTCGCCCGAAGCCTCACAGGTCAGGGTGACTTGATCGTCAAACTCTGAGGCAGTCTGGTTATTCAGGTAGGTGATCTTAGGTTGCACTAGAAAAGAGACAAAAATAGCAAATATTTTAGCGAGCAATTGCCAGTCTGGCCGCCTGATGAATGTGATTGAATTCCTCCTCTTTATAGCTCTCTTTTGGCCTCTAACGATTCCTGAGGAAAAATTGCTGCTGGAAGTTTAACTAACTGTAACAGCTGGTTGCTAAAAAACAACATCTGATAATCTACTGTGCTTTCCAAGTGACATCTTGCACGTGATTTTATATATCTAACCTTTATCTAACCAGGAAGTCCCATTGAGATTAAAATTCTCTTTTACCTGACATCCAGCCCACCAAATCATAAAGAATGCAGTGATGAGTAAGTGAATTTGCATTTGTAATAAAACATAGTACACTGAATCAGACTATGTAAAATGGAGGAGGTTGCATGCATATACAGTATGTCACCGTAATCAATCAGACACAAAACTAGCTTCCACAAGTTTTTCTGATACAAAGTCATATGATCCATTGTTGAATATATTTATTAGCGCAGCTTGAGACAGCTGTTACATATTGTTAGTATTGTCTTAGTCAAGTATACAGACAGGCTTCATTAGAGTTGTGGTTTCATACCCCATTGACCTATAATAGAGCTGCAAGCACATGATTACACAAGGCTGGTGCAAATTTCCTCATGAAGAGTAACTCTAGTGTGATATCTTTCAATGTCCTAAGGGGTGGCTTAATTAGTTTTCAATAGGGGACGCTTTTCTTTAAACTGTATGCTTCACGCTGTGTAACTCTGCACCCAGCCACTGGAAAAGCTGTAGAGAAGTGTACAGCAAATGTCAATAAGTACGAAAGAAAAGGCCAGAGAGAGAAAAAAGAGCCACAGCGTTCTTTATGCTATCGTAAGCGAATTGAGTTATTCTCTCACCGAACACGTTCAGGCTGACTTCCTCGGCTTTCTCTCCCGCCTTGTTCTTGGCGATGCAGGTGTAATCTCCTTCATCCACTTTCTTGACATCTTTTATTACCAATTCTGAGCCATCCTCGTTCAGGCTGTACTTATCACCCGTTTCAAGGACAATGTTGTTACTGTAACAGAGAAGGGGTGGGGGGAGACATGGCGGAGTTCACATCACAAGTGTTTGCTTACACAACTTGAGCAGCCTACAAATAACTTTCTTAACACTGACAATGATCTGTTCGGGATTGTATTTCAGGAAGAGAGCAGCTGGTATACAACAAAGGCCGGGAGACCAAAAAAGCTGTCCTGTGCTGTAAGCCTCCGAGAACATCTCCAACATGTCCACAGCTTTTGTTTGCCTCAGCTCTCCTCGAGCCCTTACATCTGTGATTTTAAGAAGGCCACGCACCAATTTGATGATGAAGCTTTTTTCTTTCTTTTCTTTTTTTTTTTACAGTTTTGAGAAAAAAGCCTCTCTCACTCTTGAGAAACAGAAGTCTTCACTCGAGGTTAGAATCCTGTTTGTCTAAGTATTTGTATGCCTGAAGTAGCGGCCTTCCTGAGGCAGTTTGCAGGTGAATGACAAATAACAAATGGAGCTTCACCCCTCTGTTTTCTCACTGCCTCACCCATCTGTCCTCCCTACAACCTCACTGTCTGTCTAAACTCTGCTCTGGCCAGGAACTGCATCTCCCTCAGCCTCACACATCACACTTCAGCCTTTCTGTATGGGAGACAGCTGTGAGAAGCATCAGGGTGTTCAATAGTCTTATTCACTCACATGTCTGGAAAAAAAGCTTTATTCAAAGATTCCTCTGCACAGCAGTGGTGCTGCTGCTGCGTGACACCAGTAAATGATGGGCCATGAATATGAAAGTACATTGAGCAAAGAGCTGTGTGAAGAAAACCAAATGTTGGTTATTTGTACCTGTGAGAACAGAGCGGTGATTAAGCATCATTAATTCATACTGAACAAAGTTATCTGAGTTATACTTTACCAGCTGATGGAAATCCATGAGTAGTTTTGTGCATAAAGTGAAGAACTGATTACTTCGAATCTAGAGCTTTTGGGGATTGTAGCTGTGGTTGGGCTCCAAGATGGTTCAATTTTGTGTTTCGTTTCAGTTTGGTCTAATAATATCTGTTAACCTCCAGCGTGGGGGGAGTTGAATGTACTTAATGTGTTGTGGCTAGTTCCATGAGGGATATATATGACTATATCATGAAAGATAGTCTCACAAACATGATCCATCACACACTCTCCTCCGCACATCCAAATCACTTTCTCCTGAGCGATAGTGTGTTTCCTATCTGTAGGGCTCCAGACCACTAATATTACTATTAAGTGGCATTTGCGACCATGGAGCACTACTATGACTTGCAAATATTTTATAAGTAAGGACTAGAGTGCTGTTTGTTTTCAGCTTTAAGTGAATAAATCATCACATTTAATGGTGCCGTGCTACTTAATGCAAGTAACAACAGTGTGAGCATATCATGTATCTTTGTACCTGCAGGGCTCCTAGCTGCAACTATTTTATCTACCTTTGCAACCATGAAGCACCAGTGAGACTTGCAAATACTATCAATATATGAACTGAAGAGCTGTTTGTGTGTTTCCAGCTCACAGTGAATAAATCATCAGGTTTAATGGTGCCATGCTCATAGTTTAACTTAATATGTTTAATGCCAATGTGAGTGTATTTTGTATCTTTGTACCTGTAGGGCTCCAGGCTGCAATTATCTAGTCACATTTTGCAACCACGGAGCACCACTGTGACTTGCAAACATTTTAAATACAAGGACTGGAGAGCTGTTAGTCTGTTTTCAGCTTACAGTGAATAAATCAGCATGTTGATGGTGCTATGGTAATAGATAATATTTAGTCACATTTTGTGACCATGGAGCACCAGTGCAACTTGAAAATACTATTAACATATGAGCTGGGAGTTTGTTTCTAACTCACATTTAATAAATCCTCACGTTTAAAAGCGCAGTCACATCAAACAGTTTCACTTTGTGCTAACTGTAGGTGAGATGAGCCGGGTGCTTCAGAATAAAAGCACCAGTGGTCCCAGTTTGATTTATTTAATTACAACAATACTTTATTCAACTTAATTATTACAGTATTTAATTTAACTTTAATATAACAGTTCTTTATGGAACTTAATTATGACAGTAGCTACTTTATTTAATGTTTTTGTAACTTTAATTCATTCAATAACTAAGTTTTAGCAGTCTACAACAGTTTAGAGTAGATTTAAAAATATTGAGATATATATTGTGTATAGCGATATAGCCTAAAAATATTGCAATGTTATTTTTAAGCGATATCTCCCAGCCCTACCCCCAGTGTTAATGGATCTCTTACTGAAACATCTGTCTATTCTCACCTGTACTCTGTCAAAGATCATTTGTCGGAGAAAGAAGCACTACTTGTTACATGGGAGGGAGTGGATTGTTTTTGAGTCCGACAAAAGATAAAGTTGGAAAGATAAGGTGTGCAAAATAAGTTACCTGCTACTTTGCCGTGTCAGACACACATTTAATCAGCATTTCATATCTTTTACCACTCATCTCATTTTCAATTGCTATTCACAGGTTGTGAAGATTAATTTGACTGCCAATAAAAATTGAAGAGTTTTTGCCTTCTCTGTCAACAAAAGCCGATTCCCATTCAAATTACTGAGTTTTAGTTATTAAATATTAAGTAAAACCTAAATAGATTTTATAAGTGATTCTTGAGAACTCAGATCGGCAGGTGGGTTAATGTCTTTGGATTCAACTCTGATTCAGATGAAATGCCATCACACCCAAACCTCATTGTTCCACTCACATTTTTGGGATGTGTTTTAGTCCAAAGTAATGGCAAGAAACACCAGGAGCCAGTTGCACCAACTGTGACATTTGCCAGTAAGTTTATATTTAGCTGCCTAATGTGCGGCTGCTGACCAGCTAATTAGCTTGCTATCTTGCTTAATAACGGACATTAGCGGTGCACTTTTCACAGGTAAATGTCTTCGGTCGCTCTTTCAGCAAGCTGAAGACATGTTTTTATGTTTGTATGTCAGCTAGACAAAAAAGGAGGCAGAAGCAGGAAAGCTAACGTGGGTTGTGTATCAGTCCCCTGATTTACAGCAACAGAAATGAAAAGTTTTAATATATCAGGCACAAAATAATGTACAATGTAACGTATCCATGATTTGCAAATGCACAATGCAAACATTTTTCTGGTGATTGGGTTGCACATCATGAGCTTCAGATCGAATTGCTCTTACTCTTCAACATCCAACAAACACAAATATGGTGTCCAAAAGAAAGAATGAGGAGGAGAGGAAGGAGAAGAAGAAAAGGGAGAGGTAGATGATGATGATTTATTGATTGAAAATATGATTATATTTACAGATTACACACACACACATACACACACAGGCCCAAAACACACACACACACACACACACACACACACACACACACACACACACACACTGCCTATACGCACGCATTAATGGAGAGATGTCAGAGCGAGAGGTGCCCAGCAGGCAAACTGGAACCTCTCCAGCTATCAGTCCACACTCTGTATTTCGTCCGTACTGGGACTTGAACCTGCAACCCTGTGGCCCTGAAATCAAGTCCTTGTAGACTGACCAATTGCCCACTTCAAGTTGCTCTTAGCTTAATACATATTGAATTTTCTCTTTTCATTTTTGTTGTAGAGAGCCTTTTCCTATTCTATTTGTTGGGCTCTATTCAGCCACGGAGCATTTCCATCTCAAACTTGCTATTTTAAGTAGTTCAAATCTAAACCTTTTAACACCTATGTTATGGTTATGCCAAGTTTACATTTACATGCAGCTGATGCAACCAGGTGCAGATTCGCTACAGGTCTGTGCATGTGTGAGTGCCTGCTATATAACCACTCTAACTAGATCAAAATGGTACGCTATTTAAATAGCGTGTGGAGAGTGGAAACCTGCCTAATAATACTCATCAAAGCCTTTTTGTACTTCTTACAGTCATGCAAATGTAAATACATGTAAATCTCATCATCTCTCCCACACAACTATTTGTAGGCAAGGCCTTGCAAATTCATATTTATGTCCCATTTACAAACACTTTGCAACACCATCTCCCATCAACCCTGAAATGTATGTTGTGTGTATGCAACCTTTTCAAAGGGGGCACAAACAGTTCGACCAGAAAGGCGGGCAGCATCACCAGTGAGCAAGAAATTCGACATATATGTATTCATCTCAGACTTGATCGGAAAGGCTCGATTTATAAAAAGCCACAAAAGCAACCAGCCCCAGTGGATTAGTGTTACTGTACACCTGAGACATGCAATTTGTGCCTATAGTTGGTGTTGGAGTACCCTTTCAGAGAGCTTGTTTCGAGCACAGCTTGATTTGTATGGTTTTTAATGAGAACGATAAACAAAAACTGTATGTTCTTTGTTCAGGAAACTGAGTTAATCACAATATTTCTAGCATGGCTGCTGGGGACAGGTGTGTGATGAATCAGACATTGTGGTTTAGTTTTAGAAGAACACTGAACAGAACTCTGCAACAGAAATGGCCCTACAGTGCCTATTTTGGTATTTTTACTTATTGTGTATTGTCATCTTCAAATGCTTTATATCCCTAAAACATGTACAACCTAAGCTAAAAGGTTATTCATTTCATTTATTCATTCATTTTCCTTAAACGCTTAAACCCTCCTGTTGGGGGTCGCTGGGGGCTGGAGCCTATCCCAGCTGACACTGGGCGAGAGGCAGGGTTCACCCTGGACAGGTCACCAGACTATCACAGGGCTGACACATAGAGACAGACAACCATTCACACTCACATTCACACCTACGGACAATTTAGAGTCACCAATTAACCTGCATGTCTCTGGACTGTGGGAGGAAGCCAGAGTACCTGGAGGAAACCATGCTGACATGAGGAGAACAATCTTTGTGTGAATGTGCAATGTCTGCATCACATAACAGCTGCACTTTAGAGCATCTTGTACTTATGTACTTATTATGTATTTAAATGGCCACATGCATACTGCAAAACACTAATGTAATGGAACTCTAAAATAAACCTTTCTCGTACTTGACTGTGCATCTTCGCACACCGCTGTCTGGTCACTACATACATTGTTATAACCTTGGTGTGTCTGCACACTGCCATTGTCACTGTGTCCAGCAGCTGGAGACAGAGGGCAGAGATAGTCCGACCGCGTCCCTGAAAAAAACACTGTCCACCTGATTACTACATGGCCCTCTGATCCAGCTGTGATATGGGCTATTGAGTGCATCCTGTCACTGAAGGGCACAGTCTCACCTTAAGAGAAGTGTCACTGATGAAGCTAATCCCCTGCCTGCACAAAAGATAAAAAACCCTGGGGTATTATTTGATTAGGAGGGTTTGTAACCAACTGAGCTAAGCTGGAAGTATCACTTGTGGCAATTACAGCAGATCCTGGAATACGTTAAATACTAAAGACAGAAGTTTCGGGACCATTTTTCAGAGAGCACACCAACACCAGGCGCCAGGATATACTATGCCACACCTCCTTGCTTTGGCAAGAGACAATGCACACTGATTTCTACCAGCATAATGAAAATTCAGCATTTCTTTTTTCCATGGTCTTTTTCTCAGAGCCGCAGGAATTAACTAAAATGTTTATGCTGAATGGTAAAAATTCAATAATTGGAGCCCTGCTGCTTGATTAAAAATTTACATTTCTAAATGTTATTTCCTATTCTCATTCTGGCAACATTATTCATGCACAAAGCTAAGGGAATAAAACTCCTTGAAGAATAGTTAAGGAGTTAAGACTTTACACAAAATCCCAAAAGTAAATTTAAACCATATGGACCAATGCAAATAACCTCTATGTTCTTGTAGCACAAGTCTAACCGGGATTGGTGCATCTAATGTTGAGTGTTCTGTTTCTGTGCATTTATCATTTTGTCTTATATCACTCTACATAATCTTCTTACAACTTTATCTCATCAGGCTGTTTTTATCTGTTTGGCTGATTATTTCTGAGGAAAAAAAGAATTTATTGTGTTACTTGCTGTATGCCTACCACCTGTCTTTGAAGGTTTTAGAGAGGCGACACAAGAAGTTTCTATCAGCATGGTGTTTATCTTTTCCTAATTCATTCTTCTTCTCATCTTTGCTTTGCTTAATGATGTCTCCCATTAAGGTCAAGAAAACAAGGTTAGGAAAAAAGACCAAAGGGATTAATATCTGAGCAGATCTACCCCTGATCCTACTCATGAAAACAGGCCAATAGCAGCAGTGGGAGACGTACTGTGCCCAGGTGACGGTGGGTTCAGGGAAGCCGTCCGCATCACAGGCTAACAAGGCAGAGCTGCTGATGTCTGCTGTGGCGTTGACCTCTGACTGCCTGGCACGGATGGTGGGAAGCACTGAAAAAGAGAGGATGAAAGTTGAATAGTAATGAGCACATGGATCAAGTGTCTAGACGTTCTGAGGAAGTACTCGGAAGAGACTCCAACTAATGTTTTGGATATCTTGCTCTGGACTTAAGCAACCTGTTCTCATTCTGAAGTCGTCAAATACCGACACTTGGTGAGTGATTTCCACGTCAAACACTGACGAGACACATTCTCACTCTGACCTCATCATATATTGACGTTTGGTCATGGACTTTACATGTCCAGATATGATGTGCAAGGTACCCCGTGTGCATTTATGGGATGCTGTGTCAACTTTAGCCTGTCATATGCATTGTCTGTTTTCAGAATATACTTCCATTTTCACAAGAAACGTACAGTTTGCATACAGTGTCGTTCAAAATCAATGCACCACTTCGGTACAGCACTGCAAATCAACATTTTTCTCCTTTAACAACACACACACATGGCTGGGTTTAGGAAAAAAAGAACAGAGTTTGGCTTTACAATTTTAGTGGAAGCGAACACCAGCCTCCGGGGTCAAAGTCGATGGTTGCTGGACCCATTAACCACCCCTCCTGCCCTACTTAGACTTCCGCTACCTTAAGTTACATTGTTTCCCAGCCGCATTTACCCCTGATGCTGTTGGGTGACATTAGACAACTAGAGCACTCGGAGAGCGCAGACCTCCACCAAGCAGCTCAGATTTCCCGTCATTTTATTATTTTATCCACTTCGCTTCAACCAATCACCACCAAAATTTTATCATCTGTTCCTTGTCCCATTATCAACCTTTCCTGAAAATTTCATAAAAATTCATGTAGAACTTTTCGAGTTATTTTGCAGACAAACAGACAAATGCCGGCGAAAACATAACCTTGGCGGAGGTAATAACGGTGACCAGCTGTGTATCACACCAACATGAAAGGACAGCTTTCTTTATCGGTGTCTGACGCTGGAAGTCACCAACCAAGCGCCGGATTTTGACGGCTTTGGAGTGAGACCAGGTTGTCCTTTTTTGGTGGTATGATATGCCACCAGGCAGTGTCAATTTATAATGCCACCGTATGGCCTCCATTTATAACAGTCCAGAAAACAATGCAACTTAAGGAGATGGAAATCCCTATAAGGCCAGCTGGAGGGGTGGGTCCAACAAACACCAGAATTTCACCCAGGAGCCTGGTGTTCATATAAATGTGAGCCTAACCCTACCCATGATGTAACCCAACCTTGTGCTGTTATTGCCTAAACCTAACAACATGTGTTTGTTGCACAAGGATGTGAACGCAAATATGAGGTGTTTTACCAATGTTGTAAGTTGTGAAAAAGACTGTATACAGTCAACAATTTCCTGTGAAACCAGAAGTGTATTTTGAAAAGACTCAAGCACGGAACAGGTGAAAATTGACATGGCATCCCAGAATGTCCACAACAGATACACCCAGGATACCTAGCAGATGTCAGAAGTCCACTGAACAGGCACTGATATGTGAGAAGATGGGAGGGAGAATACGCTGACCAAAAAGTTGCATTAGGCGGACAGCTGAGCTGACTCATACCATCATCTTGAGAAAAAAACATATAAATCATATTTAAGGCTTCCAAAAGAACATTTGCACGGCTTTCAGGGTCGTCTTTACTGTACACCTCTATTTTGAGTAACAACTCCTTTCTGAGCGACGGGGCAGGCAGGGAGCAGAAGGTGAACGAGATGCAGTGCTTACCATTAACAACGACCCTGATCATCCTGAAGTCAATTTCTCCCCTGGCCATGACACGAGCCTCACAGTTGTACATGCCCTCATCTGTCTTCTTGATGCCGCGGATCTGCAGGTGGCCATTATCCATGATCTTGAATCGCACTGAAACAGGAAAGGCAAACAGAACAGTAACTTATCACGTACAGTGTATGAGATGATGCAGATTAGACTCCCACAACAAAACAGTCAGTTTAAATGTGTCAGTAGGCCTCATGCAAGAAACAACACAAACATATTTTCACTTATTTTTGTTCATATCTGGAATTTGTTCTTATTGTGTTAGTACCCGCTGATTTTTGGAATTCATCAATGTTTTCTTATTCTTCCTTCAGGTAAGAGAAAAATTTAGAGTCCATAAATTGTTTGTTTAACATAAGGTGAAATTTAAGTCTTAAATTTGAGGACCATTAAAAATGCATGAATTTAATATAATCAAACTTAAATTATGTTCTAGAGTAATTATAATGATTGGATAATTAAACTTCAACGCTAAAGAAAAACTACTATACTCGGTCCACTGATCCCAGTTACTGTACTTGTAGTTACTGAGAGTATCTCTGCTGAGCAGTGGTGTAATATAACTAAGTAAATTTACTCATGTACTGTACTAAAGTACAAATTTGACGGACTCTGACTTACTTAAGTATTTTAATCTCATGCCATGTTCTGCTTCTACTCCACAACACTTCAGATAGAAATACTGTACTTTTTATTCCACTCCCATAACTTGACCCTGCATGAGTACTCTTACTTTTAATACTTAAATACATTTCCCTGATTGTACTACATTATTTTTATGAGTAACAGATTATTTTCACAGTGTGGTATTAGTACTTTTACTTAAGTAAAGGATTTGAACACTTCTCCCTCTACTGCTGTTGACACGGCAAATGTTTTTTCATTGCTGGGTGATTTTCTTGTAACACCAGTACAAACACTGGAAAATCACATTTACTTTGTTTAAGTTTATTTAACAGAACGTCGATTTCACTTCTGCAGAAGTTCCTCTTCTTGCAGCCTTTTCCTTCTGGTGGTAGCTCTCCAGTTCTTGAGGATGTGCCAGAGTGTTCACACACTGCACAACACCTGCCCTTACATAGTTGGGGGGGGTTACCTATGCTAATATGTGACTGTGGTAGATTCATCATTCAGCACACCTGGGTAAGAGCAGATTTGGATGGCAAAGAACATTTGCTTTGACTTCTCTTATTTGTTCTCTTAACAGAAAATTGAGAGAAAATATGAAAGAAATTTAGGAGAATACTGCTGCGTTAGGCCCAATGTGGCCTGTATGCGTTTAGAATACTGTGATGCGTGTTAAATATGTTCTTGTTTGTCAGCTTTACAATTATTCATTCATTCCTTTGTAACTGCTTATCCTGTTGGTCGCGGAGGGCTGGAGCCTATTCCAGCTGACACTGGGCGAGAGGCAGGGTACCGCCTGGACAGGTTGCAGGAGTATCACAGAGCTGACAGCTTTAGTTAATAGTATTTTCAGAGAATATATTCAAAGCTTGAGCTCCATGCAAATTATGTATTTTCTCTGCTTGAAGTCAGTTCATGTCAGTGGATCACGAAAATCAAAATGGGGTGACATGTGTGTCTGCAATAGTTTATAGAAATCTGAGACGTAAGAAAAAGCCAAAGTGCCCAACTGAAGTGTGAAATTAATCATTCCCTTAAATCCTTGAAGATCTGACTGTGCACATAAAATCAAGTGAAGGTTCAAGAGGGTTATTTTATAACTGAACTGCTTCGCTTAAACGCTCAGACAGGAAGTTGGAGCCAGATTAAAAAGTCCCAATTATCCCTGGTAATCAAGCAAGTGGTTGGAAGAACACAGAGAGCCCAGCGTGACACCGTGGCTAAACCAGTCGTATTTCAGCGGTGTTTTACACCCATCATAGAGCCTGACAAACTGTTGCACCTCTAATTAAAGCAGCCGTAAACACACAGTACTGGAGTGAGCTGTCTTAACTGAAACCAGGTGTTTCTTACACGCTTCTGGGGAAAAGCATCCAGCACATTATTAAAATCCAGGGCTCTGACTGCATCTGATTTAAGAGCCTTAAGAGCTGAGTCATTTTTTTGTTGTTTGTTCTTTATATGTCCCAATTTGGAAAACTAAGGCACTTCTCCAAAATTTGTGACTGGCCAGTGTATACTTTAAACTCACTGGATTAAAAATTGTGGCTGTTTAGGGTGCACTTGTTAAGTGTAGCTTTCACAGGCCAGTTGGTTCCTTCCTTGGGGATGGGAGCTCTTCTACAGGAGTCCAATGCCACCAGTGCAATTTCCATGCTAGTGAGAAGGTGAGCAATCTCTTCAGCTATTTAATAGAGAAGCCCACCATATAACCTAAAGAAAGCCTGTGTGCTATAAAATCACTTGATGCATATAATTATGTACTGAGTACTGGAAGTCACCATACCAGAGCTCTCTGTCAGTTTATGGGGGTAGCTTTGTTCATTTACTGTACCTATACACAATTACGAGGTACTTAGGTGTTTTAATATTACCACATGTTACTTTTCACTTCTACTCCACAACATTTTAGGGGCAAATACTGTTCTTTTTAACCCACTACATATCTGACAGCCATAACTTACTTTGCAATTTACATTTAACATATTTGATCCACTTATAGCATGGTACATTCTTATAGATTAATAAGGTCCTGTAAAACTCACCTAAAAAAATGTTCCAAAGCATACTGCTCACTTTAAGTGCTTCTACGTTTTTTTTCTATAATCTTTGCCTGAATATTTTCCTGTAAAAAGATGCTGCAAATAACTAGAGCTGGGAGGTATTAGCTGGACAACCCAATGGGGCCACACCATGAAGCCTCACCAAGTCCAAATTCAAAGTAGATAGCAATATCACAGAAATGAACATTTTACATGTTTCCTAAGGTTTGGTTCAGGCAGTTTTCAAAAAAGGGGGTAAAACATAATACTGTGATTATGAGTGAAAAACTAATCAACAATTCCAGAAAACCTAAATTGATAAGAAATACTGCTCTTTTCCCCTTAAGACAACATAGGAACCATGTGTTTATCATACATTTATAACAGTCTATGATGACATTAAAGGGGATAAAAACTGCTGTGGAGCCTCAGAGTGTCATTGACTGCAAGACCCATGAGCCTCGGGTGAAGCAGGCCAATTGACCTATGGCTAAGCCCCGCCTTCAAACGCGATGAGCCAATCACAGGGTGTATAGCCATTCCCATACACTCGGACATCCTCTGCCTGGACGTTCATTGAAATGCATTACAGAAAGTCAGTTTCGTTCGGTTTTATGAGCTTTTTCGGAGATTTGAAGTTTAAAATGGTCAAACGGTGTGCATGGGGTACATGCAACTCTGACACAAGGTACCCTGAGAGGCTGGGAGACGGGGTGTATTTTTTACCCTTTCCTAAACCACATCTCAACCGAGAAAAGTGTCTCCTTTGGATAAAGTTACGGTAGCCCACAACATTAAGTCAACATGAATAAGATTAACAATGATGTCTACATCTGTTTTAAGGTAAGTCAACATCGTGTTTGAGGCAACATATTGTCACTTTGCTGGCAAGAAATATAAAGTTATCTTTAACATCTCTAGCTAACTTTAGCTAAAGTTAGCCTAACGTTAGCTCCTAGCTGCGTTGTTCATCATGTCACCTTGTTTGCTGGGAGTTCATTAGCCTATTTTGTTCCAGTTTTGTACTTTGGTGATCGTACATCATTGTTAGCTGTTGTCCAAAGGGCTCTAGTTAAGCTAACGTTAACTTCTGGAGCTTAGCTTCATTAACTTATCTGTAATCGCAGAGATAACAAAGGTTGGCAAACGTTATGCTGAATGATTCAGTGTAAATACTGTAGCACCAAACTAACGGAGAGACACTCTTGGTAAAGATAGTTAAGAGGCTGTTATCCTTTTCTCATATTCTGAGCCAAAAACCTTAACTTCAGTGGCACTTTGATGCACCAAAATTTGATCGTTATGTCTCCAAAAATCATCAATTGCCTCCTGCGAAATGCCGTGTACTGTGACACCTGTCATAGCGCCGGTCACTGAATGTTGATATTTTGTCCGTGTGAGTGGAGGGGTGTGTGGCTTAGCCATAGGTCAATTGCTGACTCTTTAAATACCCCTAAACTACAGGAAATATCTGTGACATACACTTCTTCAGCTCAGGCCCTATCGAGACCATAGCAACAGCACTGGGAGCTCCTATTGGCTCAAGTGAGGTGTCAATGGAAAGGCCAGGAGTTCGCCTACATTTTGAGATATGCCAGTCTGTTAACATGAAGAACGGCGGAAAATATGGATAATATGTGGAGAAATATGAACATTTGAATGATGCCACGGCAGTTTGTGGATGTAATAATGTGTTTGGAGTAAATATTTCACTAGATTAAGATCATCTGGACCATTGGCAGTGTGTGAGAAATTAGATTGGGAGCTGTGTAAGCTGTGATTCTGTCTGGATATTATGGATCCGTGGATTATGATAACGCTTCATATGTGAGTTTATTTGTACTTCTACTGGTCAACATTAACGGCACAGCGAAGAGCTTAGCTTTAGAACAATCTGTCATATGAGTAAACCATACAAAAAGTATCTTAAACTAACTCTACCTCCACCAGCGACAAAATCTCAGTGTTGCTTGTATGGTATGTTAAAGCACCAGTAAAAATAAGGGCACATTCTGCATTATGAGCACTTTACACTGGATACTAGAACATTAAGCTGCATATGCTTTGCTTTGGTAAAACTTGGAATGTAGGATTTTTACCTTTACAGTATTTTGGCATTATGACTTATGTAACCACTTATTTCCACAATATTATTTTCTGTTTTCTGCATCCTGTCTACATGCACAAGTGAATAAGTACCAAATTCTCCATGTACAGACTTGTGAGCTGAAATTTAGCAAGTGTAAAAGTAATGTCACATGTCAAATATATTTTTAAGTCAGACATTTTTAGGGCTTAGTGTGGGATTTACACAGAAAATAAACCTTACATTTTATCAACCAGCTCTTAATTCCTGTGACATTGACACATTTTACAATGACAAAGTTCTGATGTAGTGTTTAACAATGCAACACGCAGCATATGGTTAGGTCAACTGCTGTGAGGAAAATTACATAAGCAGTTTTCAGTTTTCAGTGTCGGTTACAATTAGTGGTTTTTCCAGTGAAAAACACATTCCTTGACCAGAATCCAAGAATAAAGGCGGGCTTAGCACAACACTGTGGTGACTCCAGCGGTCACCGAGGGAGGGGTTACTGTAAGGTTAAAAAAGGCCTAGTCCAAGTGTAAAACCAAATCATCTCCACCTCCGTTCTTACACAGCAGACGGAAGTTTTAGTTGAACTCTCTGTGGGAGAGCTGGACAGCAGTTACAATGGTTTCCGGTGCTGACCTGGAGTCAAAACTGCAAACTATTTATAATGTGTCATGATGTCCATAGAAACTCCTGCAGCTCCACGCATGTCTGCTGTGTTTATCTGTATGTTCAGTATGTTTGAAACTCTGACAGTTTCCCCACAACACAGCTCAATACCCTTGTGTCATGCTTCATAGCTCCAAAGTGTGTTCACTGGCAAAGCAGCAATTGTTTAGAATGCAGGGATCAACAGTGGAGGGAAGGATCATAATACAGGAGAGGTTTGAGAAGTTCCTATGGACCGTTTGATGTTTTTGTTTTGTTTCTTTTCCCCCCGCTGTGACCGTGACTCACCATTGGAATCTATGGCGAGGGCTGTAAATTGAAGCTGATTACAGCTTCCGCGGCTGTCCTCTGAGAATAACCCTTACCCTACAAACTTTCAGAAGCTCCTTTCAAGCCTAAAGGCACTGAGTATTTGATGTACTCAAAGGACAGATTTTCAGTAGGGGTGGGCGATACCACAAAATGTTGTAATACAGGGCCAGAATCACTGATTTCATTACCAATGCAATACTTTCAGAGGCGCAATGTAGTTACGATGGGCCCCAGTGTACGCTATCTTGATGGGTTTGCCTTTTTCGAGGGCATATATAGCAAATGACACCATTTTTAATTTAACGAGAGTTCGTCTTTAAACACAGGCATATTTCCAAGGTGACAGTCTCTCAGAAGGGCCCATTTTGTGCCCAACATTTTGCTGGAGTGCTCACCCTCTCTATAGGCCCATGCACCTCATGGGCCCCAGTGCAACGCACCGCCTGCACTGTCTATATTTACGCCCCTGAATACTTTTTATTATTAAAAGTGGCAAATTTATTTTAATGTAGGGGGAGAGCTGTGTGTCATGATCTATGAGGTGAATAATACATCTGCTTAAGTAACAGCAAGTGATGACCAATTACAGTTTGAAAATGTAACATTAACCGATGCTGAAGACCTAATTTGACTAGAATATTACTTTCACTACTATTTACCTGGATATCCTCCGTCTGAGCCTCTCTGAACAGACTCTGCCTGTGAACTGTGTCTCTGTGTCAGAGGTCTGGGTGCTGAGGCATTTCCCTTCTCATCCCTTCTTTTCCGTAGCAGAACCAAGTTCTCGTGCCTTTATCTCTTTTATTAATCACTGCTGTTATGGGTCGAATTATACTAGTCAGGCTTGGAAATACTTTCTGCATTGAACGTCAGTATGCAGTCACAGTCAAACAGATGCGCACGCAGTTCTATTCATTTGAGGGTCCATGTCCGCCCCCGGCAGTAAACAGGAGGGTCACAGAGGAGGGTCACAGAGGAGGGTCACAGAGGATCTTGAGAGCCACCTTGGGTCGGAGGTGAGTAGGCAGATAGTCTGCCATGACAAGTCCTCATGTGTGAACAAGACTACGAGGAAAAGTCTGACACGACTGACAAAGAGCATCAGCCAATGAGAAGCGGGATACGTCCCACGTCAGCACGCAGGAGGACGAAAGAAATGTGAGGAGGACAAGCCGCAGGGTTGCCAGGTCAGCTTATCAGCTGCAACTTTGGATTTGTTTCTAAAGTGGAGTTGCTTATTTGGGCTTGCTCTCTAAATGTCACCTTTCTCTATATATATAGTTATTTAAACACATGATAGTTGCTTCTTTTGGGCTTGTTTCCATAGCCCCGGTTGCTTGTTTCTCTCCCAACTACACTGTCAAGCCAGCAAGCAACAACAATGGCGGCGTCCACAGGATCACGGGGAGCGCGTTGTGTTTGGACCCAGGCCCTGGAGGCAGATCTGACTCAAAACTGGGAAGAATATCCATGCCTTTATGATGTGTCGTCTCCAAGTTTGGTAACGTCACCGGCTCTGGTGGAGAAATCTTGTGGTGTGCACACACAGGTCTTAACGCAGTTGGCGAGACTTCCGCTGACAGAAACACACGTCGCCAGGTATGAACACTAAAAAGATTACAATAGTCTCTGCGATGCAAAATCAGGGTGAAAATCGTATAATGTGAACTAGCCTTAAGAAGACACTGCTGGGTCTGGAGTAAATTGTATGAATGCAGACAACACAAAAGCAGTGGAGTACATACACTTGATGTGTTCAAGACAGCGGAAGATTGTTTGTACCGAGAGTTTTACTCTTGAAATACAAATACGTATGTTGTAGAGGAGAGAAGCTTATCTCGTTTTGGTATCAATCCTGTCACAGGAGTCACAGGACTGACTGTTTACTGATTGTCCGACTTTACCTCGGCCACACTTTGCCACAGAATCATATGGCCACAGCTTGAAATGGTTCCTTTCTAAAGATGCTGCATAGCAACTCGCTGCCAGCAGCACTTCACGGTTGTTTGATGTGTTTCAGCATTCTGTGTTTCAAAAATAACATGTTGTCAAGGGAATCGGGTAAAAATATGTATGGAGGAAATATAAAACAACCATTGAATATTCTTTAGCTTAGCTAACCTGCATTACTTGGTTGGTAAAGATTGCATTTTTACTTTTATTGTTGGTGACATTAGTGGTAGATATGAAGTACATTGCTAGCTCTTCTCTTACCCTTCCAATTTTCCCTTTTTTCTCTAGGTTTTTGGATTATTTCTGCCTCTAGTGTAGCTCTCCTTCCATTTGGGGAATTTAAAGTCCAATCTGCCCTCAGACATCTTTTCAAGTGACAATAACCACTTCATGCTGGGCCAAAAAAATACAATTTCAATGTTCATGCATCATCTATGAGGTCTAAAACTTCCCCACTGAAAATGCGTGGCTTTGTTCATAGATGATGGGCAGCGGGAGAAGGAGATGAGGGAAGAGTGTGGCAAATTGATTGGAAGGCACGAATTGGCAGACAGCGCTGGCAGGAAGGTAGGGTGACTGCTCAGGGAGTCAGGGGGATGAGATGGGATGGCAGGTTGGAGGTGGGGAAAGTAGCTCAAGCATTGGAACATTTGTATCTGGCCTGGCTCACCATCTTTGGCAACTTGGATCCTGGAGCCCTTGTGCTTCCAAATGATGGTGGGTGGCGGCGAGCTGACCACATTGCAGACTATGTCGGCATCGTCGCCTTCATTAAACTCCTGCGGGGTGGGAGCACTCTCGAAGGTGATCTTTTCTGTAGAGAGGTGTGACAAACACACACATTACACATAGTTATAAATACCTTTACGTTCAGGCTGACACTTCAAAAGGTGAACACTCTCATGTGGCATATTTAGATTGCTTTAAAAAAATCTTACAGTTGATTAGCAGTGTAACGAGGCACCATATGGCTGAGCTTCTGCTTCTCTAATAAATGTTTTGTTGGTTTAGTTTTTATGTAATCACAGATGGTGTCGGAAGGTAGTCAAGGTAAAGAAGTGTTTGAACTATATATACTGACTTTCAATGGGACCTCTCCTTTGGATGCTTCTTTTCCACTGTTTACTTTGTAATATTCTCAGGAAGGAGTTAAGAACTCTGATCACGATGATCGCAAACTGCTGTGGGGTGTTTTGGCATCTGAGAAGGCTTCAAACTCATGAATGTATTACTCAAACAGGACTTCTAGATTATATTTCACTGTCTTGGCTGAAACAATGTGATCTCATAACACGGCTGTTTTTGGTCTGAAAATAGACTTAAGGGTCCAGTGTGTAGGATTTAGGGGGATATATTGGCAGCAGTGGAATATAATATAATGAATATGTTTTTTATTAGTAATAATAGCCTGAAAATAAGAATTGTCATGTTTTCTTTTCTTAGAATGAGCTGTTTATATCTACATATGGAGTAGATCCTCATCCACAGAGTCTACCATGTTGCACAGCCACATATCTATAGTAGCCCAGAGCGGACAAACCAAACACGGGCTCTTCATAGGGCTATTTGTGTTCCTGCATTGAACAGCCTAGTTAGCAGCCCCACTGCAATGAGCTGCACAGCATCGGAAAAAGTTCTAGACAGTATTTTAATTGGTTTCAATCATCTGTCCTGTTTGTTTTGGAGACTAAGAGACCTCTATAGATAATTCAGCTCCCAGTTAAAATCTCCTGAACAATGAAAACTTTAGAAATTCTAACCTGCAGAAGTTTCAGCTGGCTGCAATCTGCAATCCTCACCACTAGATGCCACTAAATCCTACACAGCTCCTTTAATCTTTATACTTAACATTTTATAAATTCATTATTAGTTTTCTATGTGAACTCTATCGGCAAAGTAACACTTGATGACAACTGTTACATAAATGTAGTAAAAAGTGCAGTACATTTCCCTCTGAAATGTTGTGGAGTGAAAGTATAAAGTATCATAAAAACGAGACACTCAAGTGAAGTACAAACACCTAAAATTGTATTTAAGTATAGTAAGAGCAGTCCTGCCCCACTCGCCCTATAGTGACTTTCCAGTTGCCTATACCATGTTGTTACTGCTGGCATTTCAAAATGAAGCTGTCTGGTGGTGTTGCACACTGATGCCACCTGGCAGGGTATCATACCACCGCAAAAGATGTCTTTTTGCATAGGTCAATGTCTGAATCTAAAAAGGTGAGCACAACTCAGCAGGTGCAGAGCTGGTGGTGCATCTGTGATTAGCCACAGTATCAGGAAAACACTGATTTGTAACATGAAACGATTTATTCAGTGTTTTTGCCAGCTTTAATCAACTTGCCTATTTGCTTTGAAGAGGAGAAGACCATTGTGGATAATTCAGCTCCCAGTAAAAACCTCCTGAACAATTCACACTGATGGAATCCTAATTGGGATTTCATGCTTGGCACATGGGATAATTTTTATCTGTTTGCAATCTGCAATCCTCACCACTAGATGCCACTAAATGCTACCAGTATACCTTTAAGAGTTTGGGTCAGAACAGCCGAAGGCTTAGGTAAGACTTTAAGCTTCTCAAAAAACACCTGAGAAATCATAAAATAAATTACATTCATATTGTTCTAAATGGTTTTGCCAAAAACAAATTGCTGCCTGGATTATGTTGAATGGAAAAACATTGCCAATGAACATAATCCAGGTAGCAATTACATTTCCATTTGAACATATCTGTCAAAACCAATTAGCAGAATACAAACCTAGTTTCAAGGAGACAGAAATTGCTATGTCCTTGTACTTTATGGTGTCTGGTGTCTTTCTCCAGTGTCAGCTGTCTAATTAAAAAATGTTCAAAAAAATGTTTCTCATAAGGCAGCCTAATGCAAAACACATAATGCAGGTGGCATTAAATTCCTTTCTGTATGACATTAAAAAACAGCTTACTTAATGTAGAAGTCCATGGTATAGGCTGGCAGTCTGAAAAGCGTCTGAGGCACTCTGATAATAGGTAGAGCTCCTTTACCAAATACACGTATGACCAATATGTTACCTATATTATTGACTTCTACATTAAGTCAGCACTTCATTTCTTTGCCATTACCAACACTTTGTTTCTTGACCTGGTGTAGCACTCCTTTTTTTTCCCCTCCATTTCTTTCTGCATCACTGCAAATTAGGATATATATATAAAAAAAGAGAAAACTTACGAAAGATCTTCACTTGGACTGTGGCCTGGGCCTCCTTGTCCCCGTTCTTTGCCACACACTTGTAGATACCAGCACTGTCCACGTTGGCGTGGTATATGGTGAGGGTTGACATGGTTTCATCGCCACGGCTCACAAAAATGTCTGGCCTGTTGGGGAGGATCTTCTCGCCACTGGGGGCGTACCAGTCTATGTCTTTTACATCTCCCAACACTGAAAAACAGAAAATAAAATGAGAGTGAGGCGAGGAGGCAAGGATTCCTCAAGGAGCTGTCACAGAAATTATAACATCAAAATACATCTTAAAGTCTTAAAGTCTTAAAACCTGGAAATGAGTTAGTATTTTAGCACTCCGGGTTTCCTCATCTTAAAGTCAATGGGGTTTTGCTAAGATGTCTGAAATAAGTTCTGTGGTTAACACAAGCTGAAGAGACTTTCTGGTTTTGTTCTATGACATAAAATGCATCAGTAAATACCCCACTTATGAATTATGAAGCTTTTATCCGTCTTAAAAAAGGCAGTTGCTAAAAAGTGACTAAATGAGACTGCAGAGCTCCATCACACCAACCACAACTTTGCAGCCTCATTGTGGCAGGGATGTTTTATCATGTGACCGTTGTGTAGTTTGTTTGTAGTCTCACGTTAGCTTTTTACTTCTGGCAGTTGCATTTGGGCTTCAAAAAAACATAAAAGTAATGATTTTTTGAAAAGATTATCTTGCTGAACAACACAAGTACCATGAATGTTTATTTGCCACAGATTTTTCAGCAGTAATTCAGAATCCAGTGGAAAAATCCCACAGTCTTTTTGACGAGGGAACCAGGGCGAAGCTAACTTCCACGTCAGCCTGATGAAAAAATGTCATCCCTGAAGCACTCTTTTCTGTTTTGTAGCAGCAAACCTATTATTTTCAATGTACAACCCCACAATGGCGGTGGCTAGACGCGCATCGGCGCTCCAGGGACGCGTTTCCCTGTAGCAATTCACACCACTGTCCTATTTCCAGCCTCACTGCCCCCAGAATTAAATGTATTTTTCCCCACTTGTTCTCTGCTTGTACATACCAGCTACCAGATACCCTTAAGCACTCTTTTTCTCTGCTCCTATGGCAGCTCGACTCCTCTCCTCACCACTGATGTATAAAGAGAACCCTATAGATGTTGCTGTGTCTCATGTGTGAGAAAGAATGGATGAGGAGAGACTCATTGTTGAAGTTGAGAAATATCCCAAGCTAAACGACCCATAATCCCGTCATTATAAAGACAATGGCCAAAAAAATATTGCCTGGTGAGTCATAGCTCTGGAGATTGGCAGGTGAGAAATAAAGTTTAATAAGGAGCTATCCACACATGATTTAAAGCTAATGCAGAGGTGGAGGAAGTACAGATCTTTCAGTAAAAGTAGTCATAACTTGGTGTGGTTGTCTGTTGGCAAGCTGCAGCACGACGTGTCCAGTGTGTGCTCGGGGCAGCACTTGATGCGCATCACATGAAGCACCACACTGCGACGCTGGTGTGTTTTCAAGCTTTAGTGTATTATCTCATATTCAAATATAAGTATACGTATGTGATGTTTTTATATTCAGTTACATTCCTAATACAGTATATTACATCACGGATGTGAAACTACTACAAGTTTAGGTAAGACTGTATGTTGTGAGTGTTTGTGTGCCATTCTATGAGTCAACACATACCAGACCAAAAATAGTCCAAAAAGCTGACGTCTACAACCCAGAAATGAAGAATTCTTGGTGTGACAATGGCTTGGAAACATTATTGTTAAATCAAAACCCGTCTCCCTACAGTAAACATCTTTTCAAGATCAGACTAAATATGCTAACTCCAACATAAAAAGACTGGTATGAATTATTGCTATTTGCTCAGTAGAGCAGACGATTATTCGGTAGGAGGCAACTTTCTTTTCCACATTGTTCATTTTTTAGAAGAAGCTGAGCATGAGCTGAGACACATTTTATGTTTCCCTGAAACATATTAATGCCATCTCATCTCTTAAGGAACACAAAGGGGCCTTAAATGCATTTTGACACCCTTTCAACAGAAGGATTGGAGTTCAAGCTGAAGAAACGTTCTTTCACAGAACAAAAAAGGAAAAATCACTTAGAAAGATAAATTGTCAAGGCTTCACATTTCACCTGCACAAAGATATGGGCTGTTCTTTTTTATGGTTTCATTCTCACGTAAAGTTCTGTGTTGCAACAAGTCCATATTCAGTACCGTTTTAAAGGGTCAGTTTAACCAAACTAAAGAAAAAAAAATCAACATTTTCTTACTTTTAGTGGTGTATAAGACTACAGCTACCACAGCATTTTGTTTTGTAAATCAAATTCTGAATAGAACCTTTCATTTATCGGCTCTCCAGTTAGACTTTGATAATAACTGTGACCCTCTGGCTGCCACGATTTTATTCATGTACTGAATGTTCCATAATGTCAGACAGCTGACCCACCTAATGCAAATACCACCTGTATCTCAGACAAGCCGATAACTGCTCATCGCAAGACCTCTCTCTCATTATCTCTCCAGACTGCATCTCTCTCCCGCCTCTTCAAAGCCCTCTTTCTTACCTGACTGTGATCTCAACTTCCCACTACCTCCTCAGAAAAGACCGCTCAATCAATGTACCCTTGTCTTTTTTCTTTTTTTTTACCACTGCCTTGTCTTCTGTCTTGAATTTCTTTAATGCTTAACTTCTACTGAGAGTATTTTCACAGGTACACCAGTCTCATTATTTAAACTGCCTTGTATCCCTTTTATCACATGTTCTCAATGAATACTGCCAGTGTCATTATATCAGGTGACACCTGCATCAAGGCGTGTTAAATGATGCTCTTACCTTCACAGAGGAAAAACTTGGACTCTCCTACGCTGATCTCTCCTTGTGCTGGAGTGATTTGCACCTGGATGGCAGCTGGGTGAAGAAAAAGAAGATGGAACAAAATATACATTAGTCTGTGGTTGCAGTGAGAAGCATGGTGACACGGGGGCAAAGCACAATAAGGCAAGGCTCAAAATCAAATTGCTTTGCCTGCTCAAAAGCACAACCATTTTTCAGCCATATCCTCTATGAATGAAACTCTGAGATGAAATTTCAATGCTCACTAGAGTGCAACATCTCCATGTGCAGATGGGTCAGGGTTCTAGATTTTCTACAAGGACATTGTTGAACTGTCTGGTTGTTAGCCGACTCGCTTGTTGAGGACATGGTGTACATAGAAGGCACTGCCAACTGTGCAACTGGGCAGTCTTGCATGTTAATTCCTGTACTGAGCATCATGACATATGACTTTAATTGAGCCAGAGAGCAATGAATTGTTAGCATACAAGAAACTACAGCATCTCTTCCCTGATATTCACCCACACTTTTTTTTTTTTTTTTTTTTAAATGTCACCCTTCCAGCTTTCTTTTATCGCTGCTGTCTAAAAATGTCTATGGTGATTGGTCCTTGCTGACAGTTCTCAGAGCTCTCATTTGACTGGCCTCTGTCTGACAAGTTGGGAATGTTTAACCCATGGTTGTCTGGACTTGTGGGAAAAGGTGTTAAAAGGAGCTAAAGATATTGAATACACAAAAATAATACTTGTTTTGTTTTTTTCTTGACTGAGTGGTAACCAAGCTACAACCTCCAGGGCACTAAACTGAAGCCAACACGAAGTGCCAAATACTGCAGTTCCTTGAATGGCCACTTGAGGCTGACTCCAAGAGCAAGTCAGTCCCCAGAGACCCCCGTGTTAATATGCCCAACTTCACATTTTGGTCTCTACAGCTAATTTCCCTGCTCATGGCAACTGCACAGGGGCAAATTTTTATATAATTCACCCGATTAAAATTTTATTAGGGCCTAATGATTAAGAGCTTGGCCTCATTGAGTGATAGGTGGGTGCCATACGTTGACAAGTTGCTACCATGGTGACAGTATAGGCATAACCGTAGCTATCCCTGTTTCAGTGTGTTTTCAGTTCATGAAAGTAATTTAATACTTTGTTCGCCTAAAAAAGTGTTTAGTTTAACTAAAGGAGTCCAATGTTCAGTTTTTCCGAGAAGTACATTTTGTTTTAATGGTTTAAAGCCTCTTTTTTGCTAGCAAAAATTAGCGCTAACATTGGCATTATCACAGTTAACCATATCTGTAAACAGTCTGTTCTCACAAACTGTATGTTTTCCTACAAAAAGTAATGCACCCAATTTCATAAGTATGCTAGATATTTTGAAATGCTACGATCATTTGACCAATGTGCTGACAGGAGTAAACAAGAAAGGAGCCCTGAGCGGTCTTGTAAGGAGGCAGGTTGCGGCGGTGGATGGGTCAAAAAATCAAGGACTTTCCCCTGGAGTTGCATGTTTGGAACCGTGTCAACTTTGAGTGGACTTTCAGTCAGTTTAAGGGATGTCCTCGCCATGTTTCTTTTCCTACTGTAAACCTAACCTCCATAACTTTACTTTTAATTACATACCTGTACTTTAAGGATGTAATGTCATTTGTGGGGCGCTGATTCGTAGGATATTGTACAAAGAGTTCTATGACAACACGTTGCTGTAAGTGCACTCTGTTAACCAAGCTAGCGGCTAGGCATAGGGTTAGCTCCACCCTATTGTCTAAATATGGTCACCTCTGGCTCCAAAAATCCAAGATGGCAGCAGCCAAAATGCCAAATACGAGGCTTCAGAATGAGAGTAAACAAACCAATGGTTGACGCCATGGTGGCTATGTCCATTATTTAACAGTCTATGGCTGCAACCCCTGTTGTTGAGCAGGGTTATGTTGTCAGGTGGTGCCTTTAGTAATGCCTGTTTGTGTTTCTGTTGTGATTTTTAAGGGGTACACCACCTAAATTCAGAATTCCAATATGTTACCTCCATGCTTAAGGAAAGTTGAATCAATATTCTTGAGCTCATGTAGTATAAAATCTGGAGCTGCTCCACTGACAATGAATGGGAGCCTGATTTTGTGGACCCACAGAATGTTTGTTTCCTTTTTTATACCCAAATCAGCTTTATTCTATTGTGGTGTTCTCAGTTGTGAAATAGAAAATGTACCCATATGCTCAGAACATCCCCCTGGGTGCTCTCAGTGTCATCTACAATATCTTTCCCATTTCATTGTCTACGGAGCAGCTCTAGACTTTAAACCCTATGACATCACAAGTTTGAGTTTTAGCACTCTAGTTTTTGGATTTAGGAGAGAGTTGTTTACTTATATTTTTGTACTGTCTTACACCTTAGGAATAACGTATGAAATTTGAAAGGGGCGTAGTTTCCCTTTAATGTCAATAGCACAAGCTGCCTCTGCAGTGCCAAAGATGATGGCATTGTATGGTCTTGTGATTCATGAATAGGAAGCGCGAGTTTTTTGCCACCAACACTTCCAAGGTGTGAGCTGTTAATGAATGTAGTTCCTGTGACAATGAACAATCTGACACCTGACAAAGTCAAAGTAAGTCACAGCATGCTCGTCATGATGGCATTAACCTGGAAAAGCAGAAAGCGCGTTGCAGAAGGATGGCAAGTGTGTGGCAAATTATCTGACTGTCGACAATAATAAAGTTCAAGGGGCTAAAAAAGAATAAGCTCTTTCGAATATGATGCATTTGTAATTAGTTTGGTGTAAGATGATCTTCAGTCGTCAGCAGCAATCTTCCATATATTAGTAACAGTATCTAAAGATTTATTCTTTCACTGAGTCTATGCAAGCCACCTGACTGAGTCATTCCAGGGTGTTCTGGTACTCATTTACCCCATCCCTGCTTCTGCTGGCAGATGATTTAGAAGGCATAATGCCGTAAATCAAAGAATATCCTTTTCCTTAGACTCTAATGCACTTCATCTCTCAGCATCAGCTAAAGCTACAGTGACACAGATGAGATTTAGAGAGAGAGCAGAGAAACACCTGGTGTTTGTTCCTCACTACGTGCTCACAAATTAAAATTTAAACTCTTGCATATTCAGTGAAAAGTGTAAGAATGTGCAATAATTTTCAAAGGCTTAATCAGGAAATCATCACTTGCACGTGTGCGCCAGAATGACGGGGCATGTGATGGTTTTTTAAAATGTAGCACGGTTTAATTTAAGACTCTCTTCAGTGATGTGTGAGGCATGGGAGTGGAGTACAGACTGCGAAGCAGAAACACCACGGAATCGTGATCCGGAGCTTGACAGAGAAATCCCGCTGAGCCTTCAGCGTGTCGCCACTTCACACAAATGAGTGAGTCAGTCTCAGCCCAATTCTCACCAGGAGATTCATGGGAATGGTTTGCAAGGACTCGCCATTCAAAGACAGGTAGCCAACTATCATCACAGCACAATGAGACGACGGTGTTTCATGATATGGCTCTTTCATAGGTGGCCTTCGTTGTTATTTTTTATCTCTGCACACTCCAGAATGTGAATACCCATAATCATTATGCTGAGAAGCTTGACCTGGTGTATGTAGCATATAGAAATGCATAAATGCACAAAATAAGCTTTTGTGTTTAGAAGTGTTTAGAGTGAGAGCTTTAAAGGACGATATTTCAGTGTCAGCAGGGATGATTTGTTTTTCCTCATCTTGTATATGCTTTTTAATTATAATACACAAGGATGTAAGCATCACATCGTTCAAAAGCAGGTATTCAAGTGACCTGAGGGTTTTGTGATAGTTTAACAGTACCATGCTACCTTTGCTGCTGGCAGAAAACACTGCAGGTTGCTTGCCAGGAAAACACAAGTATAAGTTAAGCATTCAAACTGATGGAAAATGCAGTAATTTACCTGGTCAAGGACAGTTTCAAATATTGATTTCATTACACTTCTCAAGGTAAGAATAATACCTCCCTCATGGCTCAGTCAAGAAGTCATACAAATATTGATTTGCAGAAAAATACTGCCTCTGCCATATAAATGACCTGGCCTTTGTTCCAGGCAGGCTCTAGAGGCATGGAAACCCACTGCCCACAGTGTGTTTGCTTTTACAGTTTGGAGGTAGATACAAAGAAAACAACATATCCATTTCCTTCCCTCATCTAGTAAGATCACAGATACCATGCTGCAGACCTTAGCCATGCCTCCTAAGACTAGGACAACTGGCCAAAAATCAACTGATCATATCTGCAACACTAAAGACAACAAAAAGGAGTTCAGGCAGTGTGGGAAAGATAGCTATTCCCAGAGCTATTTTCTCAGTGTATGTCTCTAAATGGCCACTCGTGCAGTGTCTCCAGGATGAAGTGGCTGTTGAGTCTCATGCGTCAGGCAAAAGTGTGACTGTGACTCTGCTGAGAGCATATTGTGAGTAGTAATATCAAGGTGTAAAAACGATAGAAGATGCCAGATTTAATTACTGAACAAATCTAAAACGTAGCTTGTTCTTCTTCAGCATTCTTCATCTGAATGAGGACTTTTTTCTGCTTGGATAAAGCTTGGACTGGATGCCTTTCTGTTCATACATCAGACCGAAAATACGTCATCCAGCGTAGGCTCTCATAGTAGTTGTTGGCAGCAGCAATAAATCCAAATAATATTTATCTACGCTCTGTTTTACTATTATGTCTTAGAAAAGATAGAAGATAGCAGCTCGAGCTTTGGCTCCAAGTTATACACCAGACCAGCATCGCGTCATCGCCAGCTGCATGTCCCCTTTTGGGCGAAAGAAACACGCTGTCATGCAAAGACAGAAATAGTCAAATGACAAAAAGCTGTTGTGTGCCATGTTCGCTTCACACTGAGGTACACAGTATACATTAATAGTCACTATCAGTGTGGTAAATAGCTAAATGATGCCTTTGACACTTACTACCGATGAACAGCTAATGTAAGTATGAGGAAGCTGCTGCTCAGCCCAGATCAAACAATTGGCTATTAACAGGTTGGTTCATTTACAGACAACAATGATCATCAAATCAAATCAAATTTGGGTGTTCAGTTAAGCAATATTC